CTGGCATTCTGCTCAAGAATGTGTTGCTGTAATGGTAACTAATAGAACAAGAGGAGCTGATTGCCATGAATTAATTAGAACTGACTGCTAGAGTTTCTTATTTATTTATTTAAATATCGACAATCTGTTTAGAACCTGAGGTTTGTTCTTGTGGTCCTTTTCTTTCCTAGTCATCAACTAGCCCGAGTGAGAATGTAATTGTGTCTTCTCATACCGAAGGTAGTCCCCTCCAGCCCCAAGGCTTTGACCCAGAGTGACAGCCCATAAGTTAAACTGAAGACGTGAAGACATGAAGATCTACTCACAGGCCCACCCTTAACATTTGTGGGACTCGAAGGAGAGTCCATATGAGATCCCTTATTTGAAGTTCCCTTTCTGTTGTAGTTAAGCTTGATTGTGTCAACTTGATTGGCTTGGGAGCCACCCAGGGGTTTGGTGGAAAACACTGCTGGGTGTGTGTGGATGGAAGTTTGACTCTGTGTAGTATGTTTTGTCCTTGGCCCGTTTCCCTACTCTGCCTCCTTGTTACCATGAACTAAGCAGCTTTGGTCTGCCATGCCCTTCTATTGAGATGTTCCTGCCTTCAAGCCAGCTAACCATGGACTGAACCTCCTTAAAACGTAAGCCAAATTAAGCCTCTCTTTCTTTAAACTGTGGGCAGCAGGAATTGTGTCCAGCAATAGAAAAGCTGACTAGTACATTTCCCTTCTCTTTCTGTCCCTCAGTCTATTCTTTACCAACAGAGGTCAATGCATGGATTCCCAGCTTGCCTATCTATCCACCACTCACTTGGAGCTGCTCTTGAGCTACCCCATGGGCTTAGATGGCACATTTACTGGTGGTAACATGTACTGTTGAGAGTAGAATTCAGAGAAGAGGTACTTTGATGCCCTAGAAGAGGCTTACAGTTGATTGAGAAGGATATTTGGGCCCTGGTTACTCATACTATGGCCTACTAACTGGGAAATAGGTTCCAGGCTAGAAGTACCATTGGCCCTTAGCTGTGGGAGGCCCATGGACGGACAGAGTGGCACCTCCTGGAGCGCTTGGCTGAGGGTGGGGCTGTGCACTTGGATCTCTGAGCAATAGTGGGCATGGATATTCTTTGTTTTGGGGCATCTGAATATATAGAACTAGAGTTCTGTCTTACCTAGATCTACTTTATTTTCCTCCATTTATTCATTTCTTCTTTTATTTGATATTTACTTGTCATTTAACCATGCCGAGCCCTTGGACACAAAGAAAAATAAGTTAAGGTCTCTGTCTTCAGAGATCTCACAGCTTTTTCAAATCTGCAACTCCCTCTTGAATGAATACTGGATAGAGATCTGTTGAAAATTCTTGGCCTTTGGTGGCTGTCTTGTACCCTGTTGTCTGTCTGTTCTTACCCCATCTGATCATGGCAACAGGGATTACAAATTCTGTAGTGGAGAAACAAGGAATGCAAATGCAGGGCTTAGACCAGAGGAACACCTGGCCTTGGTGGCACATGCCTGGAATCCTGGCACTCTGGTTGGCTGAGGCAGGAGGATCACAAATTCTATGTGGGTAACTTGGTGGCCTAAGGAGATTCAGTCTTGAAATAAAAAATAAAAAGGGCTGGGAATGTAGTTGGGCTGGGGATGTAGCTCAACATGAAGATTCAATTCCCCAGGACTGAAAAAAAATTTTAAAAAGAGGAGGTGAACTACTTTGGCTCCCCAAGGGGCCATTAGAACGCCACCTTTGGTTCCTCCCTGGAGCCCTTTCGCACTCTCCCCGTCTAAACTAAAAAATGCCCCCACTGATTCTATATCAGAGGCAAATACTGTACTGAGAAGAGGTAGAATCCTAGGGCTATGAAGAAAAGGCCCAAGAAAAATCTACCTGAACTTGTGGCTCTCATCAGTCCCAGGGCCAATTTGTAGAGCTTCTGCCTAGAAAATGAACCATCAGCACATTTTGCTCTCTATTAAAATCTTTCTCTCTGCTTAAGTCATCAAGGGCACTTCCTAAAATTTTCACTGTGGAGTGAAGGTCTTGGTCCTTACCTAATGGCTGCTGACAGGGCCTTGCTTTTAGAAAACAAATCCTGACGTCTGAGTAACTGAGCTCTGCAGCCTTCGCTCCTGGGTGTCAGGAAGCACATCAGACAATGCTGAATTTCCTTTGCTGACTAAATTGGTACATTAGGACAAAAACAATTTCCACATTTGCATAGTTGATTTCATTACTATCGCCATTATTGATGCCCAGCTCCTCTGAAAGAAAGGAGCCATAAAAGCAAATAAAATCACTTTGCGATTCCATTATTAGATAAATTACCACATTACTGCCTGCATTTTAGGGCTAACGCCATTCCCCACATTTGCATAGTTTATTTCATTATCATTATTAATAACAACAACAATAGTAATGATGATGACTTGGATCCCTGAATGAAAGAAACTAGGAAAATGCCGGAGAGCCTCGAGAAGTCTTTATGGACTTGCTATCATCGCTAGGAGTTCCTTTATCTGCGGTGGAACTGTAGCCGCTTCCTTGCACCAGCCAAAAGCATTTAACAGAGCCCAGAGGAAAGCAGCCCAGAACTTGTGGGACCACCTGCCTGCTCTGAAATAGTGACTCATCGCTCACAGTGACTACTAAAGCTTTAGGCTGGGAGTCCCTAACTGGGTCCCCTCGGGGATGGCACTTAGATGGGCAGAGCCTCGGCTTGCTCACAGATGAAGTGGGCATGAAGAGCAGAGGAAACGGTAGATGTGCTCCTGTTCTGCAGGTCATTGGGCTGCCTTTGTTTGCAGAAATTAATATCACTTCATTGAACCTGAATTTGACTCTGGTGGCTAGGAGGCTGTACGATGGAGGTGGTGGCTATTCTAGTTTGTCTCTGGCCGGGAGAATTTTCCCAAACCTTCCTTCATTTCCTAAGGTGTCATCCCCTAAGAGAAGTAGGGAGAGCATACTTGTTTATAGTTAACAATCTGCGGTATTTACAAATAGCTTACTTTGATAATAAACACTCCTGGGGTGATCTGGCAGCCACAATACTGTTCTTTCTTACTCAGCGATTTCCAATTATGCCTCTCTCTTTTCCTTGGCGATGAAGCCAAGAAGTATGAAGTCTTTCTGTCTATTAATTCTGGGGTCTTGTAGTGAAAGGAAGGTCCACTGGTGGCTGTCTATGGTCTGCTGGATAATTTTCCCCCTGGTTTTGTTTTTATTATTTTATTTTATTTCTGCTGCACCAGGGGCTCCAAAAAAATGAATGTGTCAGTAAAGGATTTGACAGTATGTTACGACAGTCATCAATCCACTAAGCCCTGTAGCCATAAATAAGCTTCATACGCTGCCACACTAAAGAGGACAGTTTTTCTTCTCCAGGACATTGAAAATGTCACAGCGAGGGAATTGTTTGTCCCCGTCTCCACGGCAACGCCACCAGCACTTATCATTAACTTTCACACCAAGATTTTAATCAGCGCTCTTTGCAGCCTGAGACCAAGTCAACATCAGCCCAAATTTTCAGAGCCGTTATTCTAATTATGACGAGAAAGCTATAGATTGATGAGCCGGGTTTTCTGCCAGGACCGGTGGCAGTTAATTCTCGTGACCTGCGTGGCTTGGGGAGTCTCTCTTAGAGATGGAGTCTTGAAAGTTCGATTATTAGTGACAGCTTGTAAGTGAGAGGAGCCTTATCTCTCCAGAGGGTGTTGATAACTTGAGACAAGGTTTAACTAGGAAGTAGTGAGACAGTGGCGGGAGGGAGACAGGGGGAGAAAAGGAAAACGCAAGTGCACAGTGTCTGCAGCCGCTTCTAGTGTAATGAGAAAATACGGACAGGCACAATTTCACAAGTTGTAAATTCTGGTAGCCTTCAGTTGTAAATTCTGGTGGAGGATGTTTCGCTCCGCTCTCTGATAATGTGTGAAAATATTTGTCCCTTTGCTTCATAGGCATGGGCGAGCACTGTGTTCCCAGAAAATGCATCCACTTCTCAACTCTCTCCTACCTCTTTTTTGTTTCCCCTGGTCAGGGAAAGCTTTAGAAACAAAATGAAGTGGGAGCTGATTTTTTAGAGAGTCTTTTCTTTTTAAAATTTTCTTCTTCCCAGCCCCCGCCCCCTTGTTTTTGATACTGGGGATCAAACCCAGGGCCTTTGCACTGAGCTACACCCCAGCCCTTTTTAAAATTTAAAATTTTGAAACAGGGTCTCATTAAATCATTAAATTGCCCAGGCAGGGTTTGAACTTGAAATCTTCCTGCTTCATCCTCCCGGGGTGTGGAGATTGCACGGATTAGAGGCAGGCAGCACCACACCTGAGGGCTCCTTCCACTTACTTTGAATTTAATCTCCTTTCTAGAGTCTTTGGTTTGCTGTGGAAGAGAGTTACAAATGTGTTCCCGTTTCTGTCAGTCTCCCTGTTCTGTCTTCAGTAATCCGGCCGATGAGTGTCTGTAGTACTGTCTCTCCCGTGGGTCGGTACTGTTCCTGCTGGGACTGTGTACCTCTGTTGGCTCTGCTCTCGGAAGTGGTGTCTTGTCCTTCCTCTCTAGGCCCAGCTGAACCATTTGTCAGGAAGAGTCAGAAACAAGGATCACTGTGTTTAACAATTCCAGGCCCCCCAGCCAAAGGGTTCCCTGATCTCATCCTGTGCCTCACGTCCTCTTCTTCAGGGAGGGTCCAGGAAGGCAGCACATTGAGGGCCCAGGAGCTCCTTCCGGATGCTCCAAGTCCCAGCTCCAACCCCAGTTCCCCAATGCCCCAGAGCAGGACGTTCTGCACCTCCATTTTCTCAGTCTTTCATATGGTGATAATTCCTGTCTAGTTTCCTTGACATATCAAATGAGAGAATAGGTATTCAATTGCTTCTATTTCTTGCAACTGTTGCGTAAGCATCTGCAGATGTTGTCTGCCCTTTTACTTTCTTTTCCCCCCAGAAACATGATGCTATTACCTTTTATAATGTTTTCCTTCTTATATTATTTTTGCACATTTAAAACCAGCATAGTTATCTCCATTAGCTTTATTTTGCCTCCAAGAACACTGAGGCACAGAGAGGTGAGGATCTTGCTTGTGGTCACACAGCCAATTAGAGGCCTTACCGGGTACAGAAGTCTTGATTCTCAGCATGCAGTTCCCTAGACCCCACTGCTTACTGTATTAATAGGCTGGGATTAAGGACAAAAGCAAACCCAATTAGTTTCTGTTGCAGCTCTTTTACAATCCTGTCTTTTTTCCCATGTGTTTATACGTCTGTTTTAATAGCACTCCCTGCCTTTTATGCTGAGGTTGCTTGAGGTATGTTTATAATGGTGGCGTAATTATAATAATAAAATACAAATCCTTCTACAGAGCGTGCTCATTACTGGCTGGCCAGGTAAAACAAACAGGCCTCGTGTTAACTCCAGAGTAAGGTGGTTTGTTTCTAATGTGCAGCTTAAAATACAAGCTGCTTTGCTTGTTTAGCCAGGGAGGCCTGTGCTCACCCATAGATGGACTTGGGGTGCAAGGCTGAGCAGGTAATTGAGACACGCAGACCAGTTTGCTTTAGCATGACTTTGCTTTTTTAACCCTCCTTTCCAGGGGAGAAATGAGAAGCAAACACAGAAATCTGTTCTCTCTGATTCTCCTATCCTTAAGATCTTTCCCTAAATATGCAAGTAGGCCCTTTGGTATCCAAACTCCTGGACATAGGAGTTTCTAATGTATACAAAAGGGAAAATAATTGTTATGAACAGAGCGGTAGGGGAGAGAGAGAGAGAGAGAGAGAGAGAGAGAGAGAGAGAGAGAGAGAGAGAGAGAGA